ACGGTTGCGCTTTAGCTTTGTTCTCTCGCATGGCGTCTAAATTAAGAAAAACCAATTAGCATATCGTGCCCCAATATTTTTAACCAAAGAGTCAGATTCGTGCAAGTCATAAATCATCGATCTGGTAGACCTGATGTTTTAGACTAAGCTACCTATTGTTGGCTAGTCGTTTCGTGATGATCAACAGGGCCGATTCCTCCTAAGTTGACTTGAAAAGCACTAGGGAAATTCTGAAGCGTACGATGCGGTTTGGATGAGGAACAGCCGTTCAGAATAGACAAATGTCACTCAGTGTGCTAAGCACGTGAGAAGAGTGCAACTGAGGCAGGAAGAGAAGGATAAGTAGTTCGGCTAGCATTCAGGGGACACAGCATACAGGTGTGGAAACAGACACGCGAATCGCCGTGTGGAGACACGTGGCTTTAAGTCGATTTACGCACCTCCCCTCACTGATTGCTATGAATGCTGGATATTGAACAGATGAGTGCGATTTTTGGTAAAACGGATATAGATGAGGCTTCGTACGACCACCAGTGTAAAGAGGCTAAGCAAATCCGGAACAGCAATTCCAGGTACTATTGCTGGTGGATTGCTGTTTTTTTTAAATGTGAGCGATCAGAGCTGCGATGGGATCATTGTGTCAGAGAAGAGATTCACAAGCCGAACGTTTCTAGCGAAATGGTACGACTGTATAGGCTGTGCCGATGTTAGCTACCATTTTGAGCCGAAAGGTTAATAACAGAATTTTAGTAATTCAGCACTTATTGCACCTTCGGTCCAAGATTTGCGACGTACGGTACCCAAGACATAGCTGTTTTGGTTGTTTCACTTATACATGGCAGACCACGCTAGAAACGTAACACCGAACATGACTCCTCGCATCGTTGATTAACATTGCTTTCGCCCTTTCAGGATTCACTTTGCTTACATGCACATAATCCTGGTGATCGATTTGGAAAGCTGTAGATGTGAAAAACGATGGAATGCTTTTGTTTGAAGTATTTATACAAGAGAAATTCCCGTTTTGGCTGGAGTTTCTAACCTTCTTCCACAAGGTAATGAGTCATCGACTCACTTTCAGCAGCAGATATTTGTTTCGAATCAGGCGGGGTTTACATTCTATTCATATAATCCTTCTATTCTCATATGGCGTTGGTATCCCTCTGGGAAGAAGGCTATCACATGGTGGTACTGCGCACGTGCAGTGCATGGTGCCAAATGCCGTTAGTGGTGGGTCAAACAACAGATGTTTCAATATCTACGGATATACTTCGATTTACGATATGTAAAGAACATGCAAATTGGATTTGCTCCTCAGTGAAACCGCGTCCATCTTTCTTTAAGGGATTAAATTTTCTTTTAAGTCAAATTTTTTTACTCTTACTTCCTCTGTAGACCTTTTGGCTTTTAGACGAAGCATGAGGTTAATTCTTAATTGAGAAGGTACGTTAGTTCTGCTCCATTTATGCCCTCGGTCGATCGCAATTATACAACGAACAGGTGCAACTTTCGATTACGCGCGATGAACGCAATTAGGTTTCCTAAGTGCTGTAGTCGTTGCTGTTGCTGGCCATGGACCACGTCGGGTGTTGACGCCATTATCGACGTTTGCGCCAACACATGCCATTCGCCACAATTAGCACCAATATCGATTTTTTCACCGAAGCTCAAAGGACAGTCAGTTGCAAAGAACGGAGGCGAAAAATGGAGTCGGAAAATAATTGCATTCAAATACGCATAAATCATCATGCTGAACAGCGGAAACGACGTAAAAAGCTGTCTTACTGTTGCAAGGAGGCGTACATCAAAAGAAGTGCATATCAGAAGTTTTATTATGCTACAGTATGACATAAAAAGCGGCGGTACATC